TGTGTGCCATTTGAATTTTCTCATGTACCAAACTATATATTTCACTTGTATATCACTAATGGTGTTCAATACATCCAAATACAGCAGTTTGGCTTCATTTTGAGTCCTCTGTGTCTCTCTGCGGACTGGAGTTTTTCTCGATGTCAGCCTCCTGTGAGTACGCAGGGCTCTGTCTCAGCAACCCATTGGATGATTTCAGTGATTGACACCTCATTAGAAGCCTTAGAGCCAATAGAATTTAGCTATATCGACCAAAATGAGATTGACAGCACTGTTAGCCAATCAGAATCAGCAGTGCGCCGTCCTGTGAGACATGCTTGGTTGTGACGCAAGGCCATTCTCAGACTTCCTGCTTCGACTCACAGCAATGTAAAAACGCCCGGAATGATTTTAGTGTAACACAGGACGTAGATCTAATTTATTTCTGTCTGGAATTACCGGGAAAATAAACATATCGATGAAAAACAGCAACGGTAAGAGACATTTTACAACTATCGTTTGATGAAGCGATTTCTGTTGTTGGTGTTCTTTGGCTCATATCTCGATGATGCTTTGTTGTAGCTGGATTTGATGTATATGTCCAGAATCTGTGGAGTGTCTGCTTTCTTTTGAGGTATCGTGTCTGCGTATTGCATAAAATACCACAGCTTTAGAGCCAGAAATGTGACGAGTGGGTTGACTAGGTGGCGCTATATGGATTTTGATATTTGGTAATTAATTGAGTTGTTGTTTGACTTGTGTTTGGAGCATCTACAAACCTGATGTGCAACATCATATTCGTTTGTGATAAGTGCATTTTTTCTGAGGGTATATGCTAAACTTTCTCCACAGCCCCCAAAAAAGGGGGCACTCGGGCTTAAAACTGCAGTATGTATGCCTAATGTAGATTATGTTATTTGAGTGATAGGAGCAGCTAGATTGTTAGCATAGCATAGCCCTGATCAATCAGAACTCCATACAGAAAACAAGCATTTAAAAAGCTGTTTGCCGTTTGGAGGACTGAACTGACAAAGCATGAATTCAGACTTTTTACAAATCAGTATCATGATGTAGTTATTTCAGCATCCTTTTGATCCGTTTATTGTAATCAAATCACGGCAAAATCTGTTTATTTTGGCATCGTACCACCGGAGTAAACCAGCTTTATTCAGCCAATGTGTGACTTAATAGATACAGGGACTACAGCTCGGTGAAACGCCTCTGGAAGATGTTATGGACCCAGAAACGAAGGCGATAAAAACTTATCTGGGACTTCCGCAACAGGTAAAGCAGTGATAGCGGTTATTTCAGCCGGGGTTGACGGCGGAAAGAAACATTGTTGGCATACAAGATGATCTGAACAGTCTGTTGGTGCCTACATGGAGGTAAGGCTGCTCATCCTCTCCGGTAACACGGTGGAGAAAACCCCTTTGCATTTGGTGTGAACACAGCATTACACAGTATGTGAAATAACCCTGTTCAGAGTAGCCAATGCGTCACAAATCCCTACATAAAGTAAGTTTCTCTTGTTGATCCTTGTTCCACTGGAATTTCCCATTCAGTGTGTGTGTTAACACATGAAGCTGGCTGTAGTCTTTCATTAAGCTTAGCATGGTATGGTATGGAATGGAACGGCTTTAAGGCGGTAAGCCTTCTTCTGCCACATTCAAAGAGCTCAAATCCGTCTCTGCACTTCTTTCTTCCTCTATGGTCGCCATGCCTCCACCATCCATGGTGTGTGAGCAGCCAGGCAGGAAGGAGAAATAATTACATGAACATTATCATACACAAGCAGCCTGAGCTTCCTCCGCTGTCACCACGGAGACAGTACTGAGCTGTACAGTCCGCGTGTGTGAGGGGGGGAAGCTGTAGAACTAATCTACCCAACCAAGCCTCCCTCATGGCAGCTACACAGAATCACACAGAAGCAGCCCAAAACGCCTCAAACTCCTCCACCTGATTACACACCCACTTAGATCTCCCAAATGTGTCGTTACTGTGTTTTTTGAGTGAACGTGTGTGCATATCTGTGTGTGTGTGTGTGTGTGACTTGCTGAGCTCAGCAGTGCCCCTTTCCCGAGCCTATAATTGAAGCTATCAGATGGGAGTGCTGCCAGACGGGTAGATTACACACGGTTAGGCTGCTACAGAGCCCTCTCTCACCAGGGATTAGACCAAGACACACACACACACACACACACACACATGCAGAAACACACAAGCACTTGAAAGGAGACAAGAAAGTAAACTTGGCTCCATCTTTAACCCCGGTCTCAGTTCGAAGGTGGTCTCTGGCATCAAGAATGTGAATGACACCACATTAGCAGCTGTGGGGAACGCTACGTCAGTGAAACAGCAAGGAACCTGGAGACCGAATCAGCAACAGACACAGATCAAATATCTTTCAACGCCAGACCAAAACCTCTCCCAGCATCCATGAGGTCAAAGGTCATCGCCATGAGTCAGTGGACGGCTGGAGAAAGATCAGGGAGCACCTTCATATCCGAGACGGAGACAGGGGTAACCATTTTGCCAAATATACGACCTGTTCGTACATGCCTGAAGATCCATCCATGACAAGTGATCAAATCCATCTGCTGAGGAAGGCCATGAGATGCACAATCACTACTTCTAGTGTAAAGACAAAAATTTCATCACTGGATATGTAAGACAATCATTTTTCTTTAATTTAAGTTTACCAAATCAGATTTCACAATATGATATATTTAACCAGCTGCAACTGGTATCTACACAACACGCATTAATACAGTGGAGTAAATAGGAACATTTTCATCTAGCAAAAAGCATATTGTTGAAAAGAAATAACTAAACAAATAAGGTACAAATATCCAACTACAATATTTCAATACATGTACTTTGTTTCCACCTCTGACGAAAACACAATTGAAATGAAGTTCTGTTCCACAGAGGTCAGAAGAGATGCTGATGGGTTAATATTAGTCTTTTAGTTAAAAAAAACAACACAGTATGAACCTGATATATTGGTCTGACAGCATATTTTATGACAGTAAATGTAGTAAGTGCCTTTTAGGCCACAGTGAACGTGCATACGGTAGAGTGTCTGTATCCTTTATCTGCAGTAACTATGTCTCTTGACAGTAACAGTTACAGCCTGTGACAAACTCTCCACAGCGACTGTAAAACACTCCCAGTAATGCTGACTGTACCGTGCCTTCTCCTCTCGCTGGACTCCCCCACTCTGCCATCACTGTCTGTACGCTCCCATATCTTCCCAGCGTGCTCCATTCTTATTGGCCCTGACAGCTTGAAGGCTCCTCAACTAGAGACAAGTGGTGGTGCAGTTAACTATGGTGTGGACATCCTTAGCATTGCCTGTGTGCAGTTCTGTGCTTAAATGCAGCTTCAAATTGAGCTCATTTGTCAGTGGCGTCTGTCCCTGCTGCGTCTGAAAATGTGCATATATATGTGTGAATGTATAGGTCATGGATGCAGTTGGACACTTGTTTGATCTTAAAATAAAAATCTCTTCTCTCCTCATTCTCTATATCTTTTGGATCTCATTTTCTTTCTTGTTTTATGCATTTTCAATGTCGGTTTCATGTTGTGTGAACTGTGGTGTCAAAGGAACTTCACAAAGATTGTCCTAGAGTCAGTGAGAGAGGTTTCACTCTCGGTTGCCTGCATGCTTCCCAGCGTGCCACCCAGAACTACAGACACAACTCTCTGTCTCAGCTAACTATCTCCAAACCTTAAAACCTTCAAAGGAGAAAAGCACACCGGGGATTGGTGGCTAAATTATACATAAGTTAAATCATAAGATAGCGGTGTGAATGTTAGATGTCCCTGTCTGTATTCCATTGCATTCTGAAGTCAGATTCAGCACCAACTTGGTTTTGAGCATGCAGAGTCTCATCACCACATGACGTCATCAGGGATGGACTCACAAGGTAATGAAGAAATAGTATTTAGAGTAATGAAGGGTCATAAGTGAACTAAATAAGATAAGCTATGGGACTGGTGAGGAAACAAGTTCCAAATGAGATCCATGCACAGGAGTTTGGAACCGGTGTGGTTAAAGGTGCAACCAAATAGGGGTCAGCTTTTCCCCTCTAATGCTGGGGGGATACAATCTAAATCTACAGTCATCTGCTGTACATCAAAAAGATTATTACTAACCAACAGCAGGGCAAGAATACAGAGAAATTCAACCAAACTGCTGAACTTGCTGCTGCAAAATAACACTGCTATCTAATACAGTGTTTTCAAAATAAACCTCCATCTTCACAGGAAACAACAAGTGGAGGTTTAGGCAACAAAACTACTTGGTTAGATTTAGGAAAAGATCGTGGTTTGGGATGAAATAACTACAGAAGTGGCATTACTTAAAGTTACTACAATGAACTTTCATTTTGTGTTCATTTTGGCAGTCCCTCTGGACAAAAGCTGTTGCACCACAGTCTCTTTAGAAAACCTCTCATTTTAATGCAGCAGGCGTCTGAGAGTCTGCTATGCGCAGTCCTTGTTCTTTATGCCTTCCCTCCAGTGGACCCAGCATTATGGCTTGGGTCTCTAGCAGCATGGTGGCGGTGTTGCCTCCCAGCTGTGAACAATGGAGCAGTGAGGAGAAGCTCTGCTCCTGGCCGGAGGAGGAGACGCTGCTGACGAGCGCTGAGCTCTCCTCCTCCTGCCGCAGTTTCTGAATACAGGTTGAAGGTGGGCTGGTTGCTGCTGGAGGCCCTGCTGGAATCTAAGCTGAAAGACTTTCTGGTGAACCTGCATGACTACATCTGATTTTGTGTGAAATCTGACACGGTGGCCACGATGATCAAGATTAATTGTACAGAAATACAAGTCTAATTTACTCCAGTCTAATTTACTCATTTACTAAAAGTAACTTTAGGTATGGAGGTCACTTGACAAATGTTGACTTTTCTTTTGACAGGGAAACGAGCGGCGGTCTCCTGCAATAAAGGGGAAAGGACCACATCTTTCCACATGGTTAATACAGATAATAAAGAAGATATAAACTGTAGACTCACCGTTACTGTGTTGGCTGTGAGGGCGGGGGTGTTGCTGTCGTTTCCCGGCTGTTCGCTCTGCGTGTGTGTCGCCGTGTACAATGTCAGGGCGTGCTCGGCCACCGTGCTTGGTCCTGTGTAATCTGCAGGAGGGTGGGCGTGGGATGTGGTGTACTCAGCTGGGATGCCATTCTGTGGTGGAGGAGGGTACTGGGCCGGTGGGAAGGGTTGGGCCATGGCTTCAGGGGGAGCTGGGGCCTCTTGGTTACCCTGCATGGACAAAGATAGATGGACAGACAGGACAGACAGAAGGGACAAAGCAAACCAACTGGTTAATAAGGTCTGACTGGTTTAGTTGTCTGAGTCGTGGTGTAGCTTGTCAAATATATCTATTGTGTAAATATATAATGTAGACTGACCATTGCAGAATATGGATTTCTGTATGCTGGTTTTGATAGGCAGACAGTGAGGCTAATGTTTCTCACAATTTGATCTCGGTCTCAAACGGCCTCTAACCATCATGAGACAAAAAGCTGAACTTTCTTCAAGCGATATCATACATTTTGTTATACATTAAATCTATTTAAATCTCCACATTTTCATTTAAATAATGGCAGATTTACCGCGGGCTTTTTTCCGAGGCCCCATATTATTGCCCATTATTACGCCCCTTAGGCTGTGGTTGGAGTTAGGGCCTCAGTATCTCCTTTAACTTAGTGTTTGGGGGATCATCTGGAAGTGTCTGACACACCAGAGGACTGTGTCAGACAATTTTTGTAATTGTCTGAAACAATTTGACAATCCCTCCCACCTGCCTGAGAATGTGGGAAAACTGATCAGCTTTGATCTTCTCCTTTTTTGTGATTTTATTTAGTGAAGTAATGTAACGGGTGAGGTAAGGAACCAGAAGCAGTACGACAGACACACGGAATAGTTGGAACGGAACTTTATTCTAGGCAGAAGACACAACAGGCAAACACTCTTGGATCTGCACAGGTGTAGAATCCCACATGGTGGAACGCCAAGCCGTCAGGGGAGAAGGCAGACAGAAACCAGAGGCAGGATCTCGTGGTCGGGGACAGAAGGCTGAGTCGTTTACCGGGGCAGAGGCAAGGCGGAGAAGTCCAAACAGGCAGGGTCGGCAACGGGACACCAGTCGGGGGGTAAACGCGGGAAAATCTGGCATAATGCGGAGAACGTTCTGGCAGTGAGTGTGTGTGAGACTGGGGTCTAAATAGTAGGTGCAGCAGAGTGAGCAGGTGAGAGTGATGAGCTGATGAGGTGGGTGTGACTAACAGGTGCACTGAATGAGCTGAGGTGAGTGAGAGATAGAGTGACAGGAGAGAAGGGGCAGAGCTGTGACAGGTGATGCATGAAGTGAGACAAGTTTTTTCCTTCTTTTTTTTCAAATATTCTCAAAATATCTTGAACCATTCTTTTCCCATGAACAACTCAGTGGAACACCACCAGACGGTCTGACAGTGTTTACCGTTATCTCAATTATTGCATCAGGCCCCTCTGTATGATGGCAGGAGCTTTGCCCCAAGTGTGAAGCTGTGACAGGACAGGAGTGAGGGGGCTCAGTTAATCCTTGTATCTCATTGAGTTAGAATAGCAGCCGTGGTATGGTCACAAAATCCTGACAGTGACGAGAATGGGAGATAACGCCATCAAACTACCTGTCTGTCCGTCAATACACACCAAAAGAAATAATAAGATCAAATGAGAATACAACATGTGGTATTGTGAGTGTCCTTTGTATGGGACATGAGAAGAATGTTGGCTTCATTTGAAGAACAGCAGTCTGTTTGATCACAACAGAAACCACCTCACCCACATGGAAACTTCTCTGTAGAAAGATGTCCCCACAAACACTCTAACAGCACAGGGACGGACAAACACACAGACCTAAGGAAAGCGATACATCCCTTACAGAGATGAGAAAGATCAATTAACTGATTGAAATCCATGCTTTTAATAGAAGTTGACATTCTCCCTCTCATCTCCGCTTTTTCTACATTTAGTCCTCACTGCTTAAAATGCAATGATTCCTCCCCGTTAAGGTATGATGCTCTTTCACCGCGGTCCAGGCTCTTCTTCTAATTTACATGCCTGTCAGATAATCATTTTGATGATGAATTCATCTGACATATTAGCACCCTGCTTTTTTTCCGCACTGCTCAACATCTTTTTGGAAAGTGGCTTAAAATTTTTAAAAATCAATCACAGCAACTTTTTGAGGTGGGCAGAGAGTCTGACCTTAGCTGTTTCCAATAGCGGTATTGAAGTTGGCTATCCTTGTGCATGGAGATTGATGGTGGTGAGCATAATAAAGCAGTTTGCCGATGCCTCAGCGACTGTAGCCACGTCGTTGCTGGCAGAGAGTCATCGTCGACACCCCAGGCAAAGAAGCGTTATGCTCAATTTAGGGTTTACTTAGGCTCACTTCACATACAAATGAAGAAAAATATAAATCTACAGCAGCAAACGAGTCAAGTCATCAATAATGAAACAGGACTTTGTTGTGCTTGTTAGATCTGGATGCAAGTAATGCTTTTTTAAACACTTTGTGATGTCCTAACAGCTGATATGAACACTCTACTTACCCAATACAAATACACACATATTTACACATGACAGCTCCTTTCAAGCTTTAGTGGCAATTTCAGCCTTTTATTTTGTATTAAATGCCCTTCATCTCAGCTCAGGTTGTGCAAACTGGTATGATCTCTTAAATCACCTTTTACAAACCACTTGCATTTCAGGTGGCAATATTTGAAGGTTTATCTTCGAGTTTCGCTCTACCCTTCTCCGGTCTTCTACTTCATATCCCCTTGGTCTTGTTTTCACAGTTTCATTTATATCTGATAACACTAAGTTCACCAAATTCATTTCATCGCTGAGATCTGTGATCACAACAGTGGTGGGCCGTCAGGGCCTGCAAGGCCTTCTCTGCTGGCCTAAACAGAATCACAAAGTTATAGCTATTTTATGATTTCATTATTTTTCTGAAATACACTACATGTATTATAATTTATAAAAATATTTTCCCCATTATCTTATTTCCTCATTGCACAGCTCCTGTTTTCCTCAGTTGCTCTGCTTCCAGTGCAGCTTGTTTTAAGTAGAGCTTTTATCCAATCAGATTTCCTACTACTACAGGCTCCTACTTATGTAGCTGATGTACTTCACCCATATTCACCCGCCCGCACTCTCAGGTCAAACGCTCTAGGTCTTCTGTCAGTTCCACGCACACGATATAAGACCCGTGGTGACCGGGCCTTTGAGACAGTGGCGCCGAGGCTATGGAATGCTCTGCCTGCGACTCTATGCCTCGCAGATTCCGTGAATACTTTTAAAAAACAGCTAAAAACCCATGTCCTAGACCTGCTCCTCAAATATGTGTTTTATTGACTCTATAGTCACATTGTGTTTTTTATGCTTTTAAATTTCTGCTCTGTTAAGCACTTTGTGATTTTCTGTCTGTGAAAAGTGCTCTATAAATACATTTTATTATTATTATTATTATTTCACCTCTGTGTCTCCAGGTAAGAAGAGAGGCCCGATGCCTGCAGACTCACAAGTGAATCCCTTTGCAGTTTAAGTAAATGGAGACGATATTATTGATTGTCATAGTGTTCAACCAATCAGATCTTTAGTTTGACATGTTGGGCGTATTCTTTGACGTGCCAGAGCTACCGAGGTAGTCTACAAGTACGTCAGCATTAACGTGCACCGTGATTGGTCAGTGGGCTAGCGTGACTGTTGTCACGCTGAAGCAGCTAGCAGAAGTTAGTCGTAGTAGTAACATTTCAAGTTGAAAGATATGTAAGAAGTTATGATATTGACATGACATTTTTAGCATATTGCTTGGTGTAGATTCTTTTTTTTAACCTAGCTTTGTTTTTTTAACACTCAAAGGCTGAAGGAGGAGAAACGGATTTCTGAAGAAGGACATTGTAAGAAAGGGTCGCAGCTAGCAGCCCTGACCCAGCCAGGAAAAGGATTTGTACGAACGGTATTTCTTTCTACGGTGCTTTTGAAAACTTTTGCTGAGACCCGAGTGGATCTACAACTCAAAGAACACGTTCACAGTAGGACCTCTGGCTGGAACTGAACCGCACCGATGTTCTGTTCAACCGTCTCATTGAACTCTCTGTTAACAAAGAAAGGAGGATGGACTTTGTCTTTAAGTGAACAGCAGCTTTGGTAAGTGAAGTGCTTTTGTGTTTTTACATCTGCAGTAGCGTTACTACTGTGTTCATGTGTCTATGGTGTTGTTATTATGATATGGTTAATATTGTTCCCTCTGATGTGAATAATAGTTGAATGGCTCGTGCTCTTCAGTGTGCGGCAGAATACGTGTTAAAACAAGTATATACTTCTTTCCTCGTCTCCTTTTTCAAATCAAACAAACAGATATGGCCTTGCTAAGTAATGGTGTAAATGACTGGAAGTGCTTTTCTGATAAAAAACAAATGGTTGGAAAATGAAATATTGCAGCTAAGTTTGATGAAGTCTACAGGATAAGTGTCAGAGAGTAACAAATGCATGTTTAGTCATGTTCAGTTTGGTTCAGGATTCAAATGTGTCACCTTAAAAGATTATGCTAAAAAAAAATGTTGGAACCAATTAAGGAAAATACGATGTTGGGTGAG